ACTTGCTCACCAATGGATCCTCTGCAGTAAATGGGTGCGGTCAGAATGAGAGTCCAAACATCTGATAAAAACATCACAATAATTCACCAGTAATCCACACCATTCCAGTCCATCAGTTAATGTCTTGTGAAGTGAAAAGCTCCATGTTTGTATGAAACAAATCCATCATTAAGGGATTTCAAACCATTTCAAATCACTGTTCCTGTTTGGCTGTTTCTGGCCAAAACACCACAATCCATAATAATGCTTCCTCCAGCGACAAAATCCATCTGTGTTCTTTCACATCAATAAACACTCTGTTGTTCTTTCACATCAAAACTGACATTTTTGTTTACAACTGTTTTGGACCGTTTTCACTTGTAACTTAATCTGTGCATATTTCTCTCCTGATTCAAATGAGATTACTTTTTCACTGGAGAAAGCAATATTATGCATTATGTATTTTTGCCGGAAGCACTGGTTTAATGCTAAAGACGTCTTAACGGTGGATTTGTTTCTTACAAACATGCAGCTTTTCACTTCACAAGATGTTAATGGATGGACTGGAGTCTTGTGAATTAATTGTGGATTACTGTGATGTTTTTATCAGCTGTTTGGACTCTCATTCTGACGGCACCCATTCACTGCAGAGGATCCATTGGTGAGCAAGTGATGTAATGCTAAATTCCCCCAAATCTGTTTTGATGAAGAAACAAACTCATCTATATCTTGGAAGGCCTGAGGGTGAGTACTTTTTAATCAAACTGTAATTTTTGGATAAACTTTTCCTATAACACTGAAGTACAATTAATTGTAACTTAGAGGCAGGTTTATTACTTTTCTACAGATGACCCTCCTTAACAATCTTTAAAATAATTCCTATTTGGATACATATTATAAGTGATTATCAAATTAAAGTAGCAAATAGGCTCAAAGTTCCTATAGGCTATATGGCATGCTAGTATACTGTAAAACACAACCTCAGTAGTAAGTGTGTATGCTAATGTGAGACCAGCACACATAACTTTGATTCAGACATGCATTTCTGGTGCACATACGTGATTTGTGATTCATGGAGGCTAATGAGAGCAGCGCTCGCCAAGAGCTCCACGTCCTTGACTGTTAGTATCTCAGGTTTCCTCAGAATGAATGTTGGATAAGACTGGATCCCTATTTTTAGCTACAACCAATTAGCACCACTCACAGAAAACCGGTTCACATGACTTTAGCACCAGCATTTACCTACAGATAGCTAGATGTTGAACACGCGTTCACTATTTACTTTAAACCTGGCATCTCTACAGAAACTTACATCACAGGAATAAATTACATTTTAAAATATATTCAAATAGAAAACTATGGAAGCCCATTTGTGCCAAGAAATTTGTAAAAAAAGAAAAAAATGTTGCGACTTTCTAGCTCACAATTCTGACTTTTTTCTCGCAATTCCGAGTTTACATTTCGCAATTCAGACTTTTTTCCTAAGAATTCTAAGTTTACATTTCACAATTCTGACTCTTTTGTTCTCAGAATTCTGAGTTTACATCTCGCAATTCTGTTTTTTATTTTTTGCTTCCGCCATGGAATAAAAAATAATAAAAGGTATTGCAACCTTTTACAACCCAATTCTGACTTTCTGACTCTTGCAATTGTGTTTATATTTCACAGTTCAGACTTTTTTTCTCAGAATTGAAAAAAGTCAGAATTGTGAGATTAACAAAAAAAAAAAAAAAACACAATTACCTTTTTAATTTTTTTTTTATCCTGTGGCAGAAACAGGCTTCCATAGAAAACAATTATTTTAATATTACTGCACAATATTGCTGTTTTACTGTATTTTTGTATTATTGTAATGATAAATGAAGCCTTTGTGAGCATAAGAAACTTCCTTCAAAAACATACAAAATTCATAATCCAAACCTCTGACAGGTGGTGTATGAGTCGCTTTGGATGAAAGCATCAATGAATAAATGTAAACACACATGACAATTGCTTATATAACAAGGTAAAAGGAAAAGCACAGAATAACCTTGGCTAGCATCGCATGTTAATTGTAAATAGAGCAAATGCATGTGAAAATGAAGATGTAATTTGAGCACATGCCTCACTGAAGACAGTGATCTATAATTAGCCTGCATGCTTGAAATGCGGCCCAACTGTTTGCTAACTTTATTACAGAATAAGTAAATGCAGCCCGCATCTCCAGATGCTACTGCTACTACATGCATTAGTATAATCTGTTAAAGGCCATTCTGTGAGATATTCAATCAGATATGGGTCATAAGATTCAGAATGAACCAAGATCTCTACTGTGAAATGTCATAAGACATATCTGTGATCAGCAAAGCATTTTAAATATACGTGGAAGCACATTAAATAGGTTGCATGCAATCTTTAATATCGGTCAGTTTAATACTGGTAATTATATTACTACAACAAATAGTAACTGGGATTTTATTCTGCTTTTGAAATTCCCACGCTGCCTAAAATGTGTAGCCACTTACTTCTACAATATCCGAGTTGGTTCTGCTCTCGTGAGGTTCGTTGTATTCCGTGTACTTGAGCAAGACCTTGTCCATGTCTGTGCTGGCGTACTGGAAGAGCTTATTGGAGCGGTTAAAGATAATCAGGGCTATTTCACAGTCGCACAGAATATTACTACAACAAATAGTAACTGGGATTTTATTCTGCTTTTGAAATTCCCACGCTGCCTAAAATGTGTAGCCACTTACTTCTACAATATCCGAGTTGGTTCTGCTCTCATGAGGTTCGTTGTATTCTGTGTACTTGAGCAAGACCTTGTCCATGTCTGTGCTGGCGTACTGGAAGAGCTTATTGGAGCGGTTGAAGATAATCAGGGCTATTTCACAGTCACACAGAACACTGAGCTCATACGCCTTCTTCATCAGACCAAACTTCCTCTTTGTGAACGTCACCTAGGAAAACGACAGGAGAAATATCAGAAAGGTGTATATGTTATCCTTATGGTCAAAGATATCATCAACAAAGGAGTTTAAGTAATATGATCAACATCTGTTCACTGTTGACTGATGTGGTTTTTGTTACAATTGGTTTTGTCCAAACCAAAAGATACGGCCAAACAAAAGCTAGATTGAAAAACTATAACTTATGGATGTAATAACAAATATTGTCTATGTTTACTTATTATGAATGTTCATCTCTATATTATCATTGAAAATGTTGGGTCAGTACGTTTTTTTTTTTTTTTTAAAGAAATTAATAATTTTATTCTACAAAGACTTTAAAAGACATTAAATTGGTCAAAAAGTACCAGTAAAAACATTTGCTTTACAAAAGTTACAAAAGATTTCTATTTCAAATAAATGCTGTTCTTATGAACTTTCTGTTAAAGAATAAAGGAATACTGAAAAAAAACATATTACAGTTTCCACCAAAATATTAAGCATTCCAACTGTTTTCAACATTGATAATAATACGAAACGTTTCTTGAGCTGCAAATCAGCATATTAGAATGATTTCTGAAGGATCATGTGACACTGAAGACTGCAGTAATGATGCTGAAAATTCAGCTTTACCATCACAGGAATAAATTACATTTTAAAATTTAATAAAATAGAAAACAGTTATTTTAAATTGTAATAATACTTAATATTATTACTGTTTTTGCTGTATATTTGATCAGATAATACAACTTTGGTGAGCATAAGAGATTTCTTCAAAAAACATTAAAAATTCTTACCAACCTCAAACTTTTAAAGGGTAGTGTATAAAATTAAATACAACACTTTTAATACTATAACAAAAATGACTATGGTACTGTACGTTTTTTTTTTTTTTTTTTTGAGTGTATGCTCATTACTAGTATCAGAAGAAGTCATTCTTCACGACTGTCTGATGAGACCCAGCTGTCAGGGTTGCCAGATCATCTCATGTTTCCTGCCAATTATCACCCTCCCTAAGGAATCGCAAGCTTGCCACTTCACAGCTGAGGGCCAAATTCTTACAGCAAACACTGAGAACAAACTCTTTCAATGTTAGTTGTCAATGTCACAGTGTAAAATCACATGCTCAAACACAGCATTCCATTCAGTCTTATAGAGGCGGCTGAGGAATGATTAATGCTTTTGGATAATAAGAAAATAATGATTCATTCAACCAAACTACAGTTAAGAAATTTACAATGTGGACCAAGAGGAGTCGTGGCCTAATGGTTAGAGAGTCGGATTTGTAACCCAAAGGTTGCGGGTTCGAGTCTCGTTCCGGTGGGGGGATTGTAGGTGGGGATGTACAGCGCTCTCTCCCACCTTCAATACCACGACTGAGGTGCCCTTGAGCAAGGCACCGAACCCCCAACTGCTCCCCGGGCGCCGCAGCATAAATGGCTGCCCACTGCTCCGGGTGTGTGTTCACGGTGTGTGTGTGTTCACTGCTGTGTGTGTGCACTCTGGATGGGTTAAATGCAGAGCACTAATTCCAAGTATGGGTCACCATACTTGGCCACATGTCACGTCACTTTCACTTTCACTTTAAGAGTACTCAGGGTCAGAAAGAATGAAAACAACAACATAATATAGTATTTACTATTCTATAGAATGGAAAGACAACAGTATCAAAACTATCATGGTTTTACCATGTTTTTAGGGCATGGTACCATAAGAAGACCATGATTCTTTTGACAAACTGCTACAAAAAAAAACAAAAAAAAAAACAGTGGTAGTACCAATGTTCATTGATGGTATCCTATGAAAATACCACGGTACTGAATTTATTTATTTATTTATTTTTTACATGGTGCACCATAGTACAGTAGTATGGTATGTATGTTGTACTCCAAAGTGTAAAAAACATATTATTACCATAGTACCATAGTACCATATCAAGAAAAACATGGTATTGTCATACTTCACTTATTTAAAAAATTTACCATGATTGTACCACAGTATTCCTGGAAGTACTATGGTGCACCATGTAAAAAATAAATAAATAAATAAATTCAGTACCGTGGTATTTTCACATCTCTCCACATCTCTCATTAGTAGACCGGTCAGACTGAGGGCTTGCACAGTGTCTCTCTCTGCCCCTGACGGCCATCACTCACAGCAAAACCACAGGCACAGGCCTGAATTTACCCAGTCTGTACTGGGATCTAAATTTAAAATACCAACCTGCACCACAAACCCTATCTAGTCTGGGCGCTCTTGTTCGGGCGAGTATTTTTGGTACACACAGTGTTTTTGATTTTCAGTGATTTACACTGAAGGTTTTTAGTCAGTGACATGCATATGTAGAAATACTGTAGATTCCTGTGTACATGAATAATTCCTCTGTACTGTATGTGGTTAGTTTACTATATAGTCTTAGAACAATAATTCACTATTAGCCATTTTATAGAAAGCCTTGATATATTTATGTACTTTATAATACAGGCATATATAAAATACCATGCAATTACCATCTGATGTATTATAGTGTGTACTATAGTGTACAATATCAATATCAAAGTTTGGGTTCAGTAGGATTTTTGAAAGAAATTAATACTTTTATTCAGCAAAGACACATTAAATTGACAAACGTGACAATAAAGACATTTATAATGTTACAAATGATTTCTAATCATAATAAATGCTGTTCTTTTGAACCTTCTATTTATTAAAGATTACAGAAAAATCAGTTTCCACAAAAAAATATTAAGCAGCACAACTGTTTTCAACATTAATAATAATAAATGTAAATGTATACTCAGTAAATTCAAATCAGCATATTATGATTTCTGAATGATCATGTGACACTGAAGACTGGAGGAATGATGCTGAAAATTCAGCTTTGCATCACAGGAATAAATTACATTTTAATTTATATTACAATAGAAAACCGTTATTTTAAACTGTAATGACATTTCACAATATTACTGTTTTTACTGTATTTTTGATCAAATAAATGCAGCCTCGGTAAACATAAAGAGACTTCTTTCAAAAACATTAAAAACTATGGTAACAGCTAATGGTTTTTTTTTATAATAATGTTAACAGGAAGTCATTGGGCTTCTTACATCATGCTATCACTTAAAATATATCAAGGCTTTCTATAAAATGGCTAATAGTGAATTATTGTACTAAGACTATACAGTAAACTAACCACATACAGTACAGAGGAATTATTCATGTACACAGGAATCTACAGTATTTCTACATATGCATGTCACTGACTAAAAACCTTCAGTGTAAATCACTGAAAATCAAAAACACTGTGTGTACCAAAAATACTCGCCCGAACAAGAGCGCCCAGACTAGATAGGGTTTGTGGTGCAGGTTGGTATTTTAAATTTAGATCCCAGTACAGACTGGGTAAATTCAGGCCTGTGCCTGTGGTTTTGCTGTGAGTGATGGCCGTCAGGGGCAGAGAGAGACACTGTGCAAGCCCTCAGTCTGACCGGTCTACTAATGAGAGATGTGGAGCCCTGAACTGCTCTAATTACTGCGACCACACCACAGGGACTGCAGCCCACTGAGGAACCCAGACAAGAGCTCCTGTGTGCAGACGCATGGAGGAGGGTCAGCCCGGTCCCCCCACTACAGACATTCATTAAACACGCTTAAGAGACATGGGGCACTCCTGGGCGAACATTTGTAAATTTAAATAATTTGTAAACAACATTTGTTAACAGATATAAATCATGTATGCTAGGAATGAAGGTGTGGGACGTTCCCTCTGCTCCAATGGTCTACAAAGCTGAGTTGTAAGAAAAAAGGCTCTAAACAGGTACAAGTCACCGTTTTCTGACATAAAACTAATGGTGATGCAATTGGCTGTATCCAGTGATTACAGATGCTGTTGATTATGGATTAGAATCGTAATGATTTGAATTATTCGGATCTTAACAATTCCATTTTTTTTTTTATTGCGGTTCAGTGAAGAAACGCTCCAAACTATTCACTGAATAAGTCACTTAATCCCTTCAAACTTATAACTTGAATGTTTGTATCTGATTTGTAAGTCTTTTTGACTAATTCCTTCAAAAAACGCAGTTCATAATGGTTTTCTGCTCGTGAATCGAATTTTAATGGTCATGCTTGTTTTAATTTGGTTATAAAAAAACAAAACAGAACCAGTTCTGAGAACTAGTTTTTGATACCAAGATATCTAGAGAGCGGTGTGGCTGATGGCTGACTTATGTGCAAAAATACACCACAGTTTGCAAAGCATGATTTTTAAATGATTTTTTTAAAGATAAAGAAATCACTCACCAAGGCTGCTTTATTTTGATCAAAAATGCAATAAAAACAGTAATATTGTGAAATATTATTACAATTTATAATAAATGTTTTATATTATATTTTAAAATCGAATTTATTCCTGTGAAGGCAAAGCTGATTTTCGTCAGCCATTACTCCAGTCTTCAGTGTCACATGATACTTCAGAAATCAGTCAAGAAACATTTATTAATATCAATGTTGAAAACAGTTGTGCTGCTTAATATTTTTGTGGAAACGGTGATACATTTTTTAAAAAGAATTCCTTAATGAATAGGACGTTTCATGTGTATTTATTTGAAAAAGAACTCTCGTAACATAATAAATGCTTTTACTTTATCATATTTGGTCAATTTTATGCATTCCTGCTGAATAAGAGTTTTAATTTCTTTTTAAAAAACTAAAAAAATTTTTTTTTCACAAATTACGGAAATTTAATTTACATTTATCTTTAACATCTAATTGCAGATTTGGAATTAAAGCACCGATATATTTTTTTTATTGCAGTTTTAGTTTTGATTCATGAAGCAGACATCTTTATTCTTCATCTCACCTGTCTGTTTCTCTCATCCATTATGCGGGTAATCTGGATCTTCTTTCGCCCCATTGTCAGTTCACTTTGCTTCTCTTTGCTAATCAAATTCCTCTTTACTTTCCAGTGATTATGGTAGATTATTTTTTGGTTTTACTGCATCGTAAGAAAACACCTTCTCTCTGCATTCTTCACCACACCAGAACCTGCAAGATATGCAAGGAGATGTTAGGCAAGAAGACAAACAGAGCTTTTATAGAAATGTACAGAATTTACATTAATACCACAAACAGCAAGAGAGTGAAGACTAAAAAGGAAAAAAAAATAGCAAGCAACATTTCAGTGTCACCTGCAGCATAATCAAACACACATTTCTGAACTCATACATTTTCAAGATCTCTCATGTAATCTGATTTGCTGGCTGGTGTAAACAGCATCAGTATTATGATAAACCCACTGGATTATGGGGGCAGGAAAAGTCACTGCACAAGTACTATAACAGCATTTCTCATTAACATGGATTCAAGCCATTTTATTTCCCATTAAAACCACATCATACAGCTACTAGTGCGCATAATCTACCACAATCCCACACAAATCTGAAATTACAACCAGAAAACCATCCATCATCACATCATAGGCTGTCATTACCTTCCAGAGCAGTGCAATATACATCCAAGAGAGAAATAAAATAATTCCATGAAGGTCTTACTTTTGCTTGCATTTACTCCTCACTCAGTAAGCCTCCCAAGAAATATAAGAAAAGATCAAAAATGTGTCACTCCAACTATTTCTGTAGCTCATAAGAACTAAAAAGTGGCTACAAGGGCCTTTTTTTAAAGCAGATCCTCACAAACCTGTTTTTAGAGAATTCCTGCCTGATGTTCCCAGTGAAGGAGCAGATCTTGAGATCTGATGGAAGACAAAGGAACAACACCCGTATTCCTTCACTTTCACACCTTCCCGCTCATCTCCACAGTTACCAGGGCAACCAACGAGATGCCTTACATATGATCTATCAACTCTGTCTAAGTGAAAAAGTGAAAAAAGAAGAAGGAGCCGATGCGATAAAATAACACTGTATATTTTAGCAATAATTTTACATTGTGTATCTTGCATGATTAGGACTGTGCATTCAAATTTACATTTCGTCTCTCAAAGCAACATGCAATCTGCAATCAAGGTATACAATTATTTTAAATAAATGTATTCGTTCTCTGGAAATCAAACCTATGACCTTGGCGTTGCTTGCACCATACTGTTTGAGCTACGGGAATACTTATATGTTAAATATTTACCAGAACTGTATGTTTAAAATTGAATTTTGAAAAAAAAATAATAATAATCTTTTAAAAAATACATTGTGTTTGTACAAATTATCTTTTATTTCACAAGATAATACTTATAACGTTTTATTGTTAATAATTTACCTAGTGTAAGAGAGAGAGAATGCATGTAGGAAATATGCTATTCAAATGTTAAGAGATTTATCATGCAAATTTGCGAGTGAATGTCACAGCAGCAGTGAAACACACACTGTAACTCTTCTGCCGTCCAGGATTTGCATTAATGTACTTTGCATAGTTATACTTTCTTGTTAAAGAGGGTTTGCATCAGTGGTTAATCAAACGTCACTTTTCCTAAAATGCAAACAACTGCATGTTCAGTTCATTCAGTGCATACTGTTTCTATATCCATCTGAAAAAGAAAAAAAAAAACCACATTAACATATAATGAATATGAGTCATCACTCACTAAACATATACTTAATAAACTAAAGCAATAAGCCCCAAGAAGCCGTGGTTTACAGTGAATTTATAACAGCTAAGGGGCGCAGAGTGCCTAAAACCCCCTTAGCTGTTATAAATTCACTGTAAACCACGGCTTCACGGGGCTTATTGCTTTTATAAAACGGTTATTCCATATATGTAGTACGGTTTCACAACTGTTTTATAAATAAAATTTGTCAGGATAAGATGATTTTTTTTTTAATCAAGTTATTAACTTAGATCCCCAATACTTCACTTCGCCAATACTTCTAGGCTTTGTGAACTGATTTGACTGAATCACTAGAATGAACTGACTCAAATGAGACAAATCATCACTAATTTGAGGTCCATTCTCACCGAGTCTGTTTAATCCATCTTCATTCTCATAAAAGGACCTGAAAGATGCCCTGCTCCACAGATAAAAACATCATTTACAATGAGTTACTAAAAAACGGATGAATGTTTCCAGAAGACCAATGCGATTCCATCAGAAACACAACTGGCATTGTCACACAGCACACAGACAGGACATAATCTTGTTTATAGCCATGCTCTGGAGCTGAGTAAATGTCTGGCCTCCTTACATAAATCATTTTTACAATAATTCACTACACAAAACATGGACACAGCATTAAACCCTGTGGTCTTATATGAGGACGACTGCATCCAATCTACTAGGCCTCGTCTAGTAATTAAGGGTTGTGTGATTGTTTCTATAATAAATGCAGGCCGACACAGCTACGTTCTGCAAAACATCTGGCTTCAGGGGCCTCCTGCGTCTTATTTCTTTGTTGTTGAACATTTTATTATATATCCATGTTTTTCCTATTCAAAAAGATCTGCATAAGTAATTATTTCTATGATGATGTAATTTAACTAGACTGTTTTATGTCATTACTGTCAGAAACATTCATTTTTGTATATGTATTCAGACAGACTGATTTACAAAACACTGAGTTTCTTGAGTTTTTGGAAATGTAATCAGGGTTTAATTGTAGTCTACTCGTTCTGGACTGGTTTATTTATAACTCACACCTGCCTGATGAACTGCTGTAAATAGCCTGTAAATTTGGAGTCAAACGTTTATAGTAAATTTCATCATTCAAATGTATGGGGTCGGTTTTTGTTATGCTCACCAAGGCTGTATTTATTTGATCAAAATGCTGTACAGAATATAATATAATAATATTTAAAATATGTAAGATGTCTGATATATATACACATTTTAAAAAGTAATTTATTCCTGTGATGCAAAGCTGAATTTTCAGCATCATTACTCCAGTCTTTAGTGTCACATCCGAAATCATTCTTATACGCTGATTTGCTGCTCAAGAAACATTTCTTTTTATTATCAATATTGAAAAGAGTTGTGCCACTTGAAACTCTAATACATTGTTTTTCAAGATTCTTTGATGAAAGTTGTTCAAAAGAACAGCATTTATTTGAAACTGAATTTACTGTCATATTTGATCAATTTAACGTGTCCTTGCAGAATAAAAGCATTATTTTTCAATATTTTTGAAAGAAAAAAATCTGAAAGTGTAGTTTACTTAACTTCAAATTCGCAATCGTAAAATATTAATTCACATTGAGAGATATAAAGTCACAATAATGAGAAAAATTAGTTGCAATTGTGAGATAAAAATGTCAATTAAGAGTCACAATATAGCCATAATTTGAGATATAAAGCTGCAACTGTGAAATATAAAATAAGAATGTGTGTACACTTAACATACCAAATTAAAGAGATCATCCTACAAACTTTCAGAAAAAAATCATGGCACAAGTCACTGATTAAATTCATGAATCTATAACAGTCTGTAAATGAAGCCAAATCAACATCGTCTTACATATAAAAGTCCAGTCACTGTATACACTGACTGATGTGGCTAAATACACTTTTAATAAGATCTGTCAAATATCCCCAGAAGCCTATTCCTTACAGGTTTCTAAAAGCATTTTTGCAAGAATATTAGATTTGTTTTTGCTCTTTCGTTGATATTCTGCCTTTTCAGCAAATAGAACGCTTCCTATTTGTGTTAGGACTTAAGCACACACAACCAAAGAATCCCTGCGGAGTCCCAGATGTAAGAGCTACTGACAGACTCCATCCTGCTGTGCTTCTTCATGATATCACAAAGCTCACACTGAGAACTAATGTATGCTAATCTCATGTTGTCTCTGAATTAGTCTCGACCTGAAACCATTTCTTTCTTTTTTTTTTGTGCAATATGCACTCAAATCAAAAACAGCATATGCTCGTAAAATATTAATTCACATTGAGAGATATAAAGTCACAATAATGAGAAAAATTAGTTGCAATTGTGAGATAAAAATGTCAATTAAGAGTCACAATATAGCCATAATTTGAGATATAAAGCTGCAACTGTGAAATATAAAATAAGAATGTGTGTACACTTAACATACCAAATTAAAGAGATCATCCTACAAACTTTCAGAAAAAAATCATGGCACAAGTCACTGATTAAATTCATGAATCTATAACAGTCTGTAAATGAAGCCAAATCAACATCGTCTTACATATAAAAGTCCAGTCACTGTATACACTGACTGATGTGGCTAAATACACTTTTAATAAGATCTGTCAAATATCCCCAGAAGCCTATTCCTTACAGGTTTCTAAAAGCATTTTTGCAAGAATATTAGATTTGTTTTTGCTCTTTCGTTGATATTCTGCCTTTTCAGCAAATAGAACGCTTCCTATTTGTGTTAGGACTTAAGCACACACAACCAAAGAATCCCTGCGGAGTCCCAGATGTAAGAGCTACTGACAGACTCCATCCTGCTGTGCTTCTTCATGATATCACAAAGCTCACACTGAGAACTAATGTATGCTAATCTCATGTTGTCTCTGAATTAGTCTCGACCTGAAACCATTTCTTTCTTTTTTTTTTGTGCAGTATGCACAGTATTTTTTTAAAACAGCATATGCATGGACAATACAATGTGAGCAGGGGCAAAATGATCAGTTTTCCATCCTCTCTTTCTACACTGAAAGCAACTCTGAGCTGTTCCAGAAGAAAGTCTTTAGTCATTGCAATAGCAACTGGAGTAGATATACCAAATATTGACTACATTGTTTGAACAAACTGATAAGATTTCATACAGTCAGTCCTAAACATTAGATAAAAAAAAAACAAATCTGAAATACTAGCAGTGTGAACAAAGCTATAGATTATGGAAAATTCACCCTGGATGGAAAGAATTCCTAACAAACCTCTAACGTTTTACAACCGCAAAAGACAACAAACCCTCAACTCTCTAAAGAAGCAACTTTTACAAGAACAGGTCCTTCATAAAATATAAAAATGCTGGCATAAAATTCAGTTTATTTTACAGAGAAAACCTAATCTCTGTTTCCCTGCAGAAACCGACTTGTCAGGTCCGTAAAACAACAGAAATATGTGAACCGTTATGCAATATTACTATTACGCGGTCAAAGGTCACACAAAAGATCCTTAACAGATCTAGAGATGATTGCTTTGAGGAATAGGATTAAAAAAGGACTAAGCCAACTCCAGTTGGATCAGGAAACCTCATGTGATTCTCCATACTGACAAGGCCAAAAAAGCCAAAAGACACAACAATATGAGTGGAGTGAACGTATGAATGGAACTGCGCTTAAATGAATCAGATTCGAAACAAATGATAAATTCTCACTGGATTCTAAATCTCAGTTATCTGGTCATTATCACAAAATAAACCCCTTTTATCACCTTAAAGATGGTTGTTTTGTGATTATGATCAGCTGACTGTACATTATCATGCTTATTAGATGGTAATTTACCAAATAGACATAAAATACTGATTTGGATATAAATGATTTTATAACTGCAGAAAGCCATGTAGTAATAGAGAAAATTCCAAAATTCAATAGAAATCTGTGCGATTGAGAGTTTCGCGTAAAGGGGAACAATTTCCCCAAACAGATTTTACTTATGTTTAAGCTGGTGAAATCTTGCCTAAATTTTATTAAAGTGACCAAACTTTAGCACTTTATTCTTCAAAAATCCCCCTAAACATGCTATTCTCGCAAACTAATCTTACAGTCACTAGTTTTATCCCTTAAAACTCATCTTTGATAATCAAAATGACATATACGTTTAAGGAAAATTGTTTCTTCATGCCTGGCTTGAATACAAATCTACACCCTTATGTCATTTAGTTTACACAGAAGCATGAATATACAAATTAGTCCCCGCCTCCACTCAGTCAAAACCAGCTCTGAATACGGCTCCACTTTCACTTACTTAACTGAAGTAAATGCTACACAGTGGCAATATTTTGATTTAATTCAGCCATCTGAACCAGAAACTGAATCCACAGAGGAAGAGTGAATTATACAGGGTCACCTTCAAGTCCATGTATCAGAATGCTAATGCATTTTATGTATTGCTCTCTACAGCGCTGGACACGTAACGGTTAAATTCTTGTGACATCACATTTCTGAGCATTTCTTTGGTATGCTACAGTTTTAAAGGGGTCATATGACATTGCTAAAAATGACATTGCATTATTTGGTGTATTTGGTGTAATGAAATGTGTTTATGCAGTTTAAAGTAAAAAAAAAACACATTATTTTCCACATACCGTACATTATTGTTTCTCCTCTATGCCCCGCCTTTCTGAAACGCATCGATTTTTACAAAGCTCATCGGTCTGAAAAAGCAAGGTGTGCTGTGATTGGCCAGCTATCCAGTGCGTTGTGATTGGCCGAATACCTCAAGCGTGTGACGGAAATGTTACGTCCCTTACCATACTGTGATGCCATGTCCCGGTGCGACGAGACAAAAACATTAAAACGCATTATAAAAGAGGCATTTGTTGCATCCAGTGGGGACATAATTACTGATTATAATGACTTATACTGTCTTTTTACGCGTTGCATTGCATCACGCCGCGTAAACATAAAACCATGTCTGCATTTGTGATCGGAGAAATGACAAACAACAAGCCCTACTCTACACTGCTCAAAACTCGCGAGATTCACTCAGATTCACAGACATAGACATGTGGGGGCGTGTTTAAACGAGGCGTTTTAGGAGGGCGTGGACGAGTCTTAACTTTTATAAAGAATATCTCTTTGGGTTTGAGACTTTAGTCTTTGCAACTTTAGGGATCTTATCTATTCACGAACAGCTTGTAACACTCCAAAGAGAAAGGAAAACATGAAATCGCATCATATGACCCCTTTAAGGAGAAAATGTTCAGCATTGTTGTTGACTGATGAATTATCACATGGTTTGTCTTTATGCATATTAAAAACATCAGCTAGGCATGTAAACAATGTTAAAACTTGATTTTCACCACAGGGGGTCTTTAAAGAATTATTTCTTACAGAATTTTATTAGAAGATGCTACTTTAAATATAATGCACAAACTGTTCCCTATAGTTCTAAACCTTTGCGAGATGTAATTTAACATAATAACACAATATGCCATGTGGCTCACAACATAATTGTATCCTGTATTATACTGTATTTTAAGCATTGCCAGCCAGCTCAAGAATAATACAGCCTGGAGTAGCTGGCAGGCCAATCCCAGAGGCACAGCGCCAACCCTCAAGCCCTCTGGTTTGGCCGCGATCACTGAATCCTAACAGTCAGTCTAATAAAGCGCACTCGTGCTCCTTCCCCAAATCTAATGTACAGTTTGATTTGGCAAAGCGCAGACGTTTCTATTTACACTTCACAAAAGAACGCTTCACGGGACTGCAGGAAGCCAGACTGGGGAGCTAATATTTACAGACAATTATATTTGATTTCTGTATTTATGGAGTATAATTTCTGAAAGATGGTCAATCTATTTAGTTTCAAACATGTGGAGCGGCGGTCAGGCAGAAGGCAGCCAGAGGTTTATGGCTCTGTTGTTGAATCTGACCCCAAGTGAGTATGCAGTGAATTCTTCTGAAGTACAGACAATTTAAAAACACATCAGAAATGGTATGGTAGTATTACTTGAACACATGCATATGTTAGGTTAGGCATGCCGTTGATTAAATGCATTAAACATAAAATGACACATAAAACAACATGCATTAGTTTAAAAGGGCCAGTATAACTATAAAGTCTAACTAGATTACAAATTCTGAGTTAATCTAGGTAAACTGACAATGTGAAGTAGGTAAATGCAGCCTTAAAAGTGCGCTAGAAAGAGAATCAATGCCGTGACATTGGTTCTCGCCTCTCAAAACACCTGACTTGATGCATGGCCTTTTAAAATCTGGGAGCAGAACACAGCTTTATAGTCTAGATATTTGAAGAAAATTTGTTTGTGTTATATTTGTGTACTAAATAAACAATGTTAACACATTTGTTTAATAAACAGTTAAGCTCCTAAAGTTAAGATTTATTACAGCATGCAGTACAGTGGTCACGAAAAGGACCTAGACATTTAATTCACACCTGAAATTATTGCATAACAATATATAAAGTGGCATCAGCAAACCTTTTTAGAGTTTTTTTTTTTTTGTTAATAATTGTTCACCTGAACCATTTTGCAATAATATTCAACTGATGTCAATGTGATTTTTAGTGTTCAGACAGGTGTACTAACATTTGATAACTAGACTCTTTTTGCCTTCACTTTGAAAACTAATAAATAAATAAATGCACATAAATGCCACTTGATATTTTCTTATCTAATGCAATGACACCCATACATTAAGTCTGGGTTTAAGAGTCCATTTTAGGGAAATTATTGCAAATTAGTGCAAAGCCTGAAATGCTGCAAACTAACAACAAAGCTCATATAGGCTATACTCTGCATGTTACATATTCTTTGTGATTGTACAATTTCATTTGTTTCATTTATGTAGTCTATTATATCACAAGCCGATAAATACTGCAAATAACATGACTATTTAAACAAATGTAAAATAGATAAATAAAATAAATCAAATTTAAAAAAGAGACGTTACAGCAAACGTGTAGAAGATATAGATTATGTCAAGAATATAGCTCCGCCATACGACTAAAGCGCAACTGAACCCATTTTATAAACCAAAGTGGCAGCAACTTTCTACTTTCACTTTGAAAACTAATAAATAAATAAATGCACATAAATGCCACTTGATATTTTCTTATCTAATGCAATGACACCCATACATTAAGTCTGGCTTTAAGAGTCCATTTTAGGGAAATTATTGCAAATTAGTGCAAAGCCTGAAATGCTGCAAACTAACAACAAAGCTCATATAGGCTATACTCTGCATGTTACATATTCTTTGTGATTGTACAATTTCATTTGTCAATTTCTATATTCAAAGAATATAGCTCCGCCATACGACTAAAGAGCAACTGAACCCATTTTATAAACCAAAGTGGCAGCAACTTTCTACTTTCATTACGCCTAACATCACCGACAGACGCGTTCAACAACAAAAGCGCGTAAACGCCGGGCGTCACGCAATTGCGCGTAACTTAATGACCGAATTAATTCGATGTGAAATTACGTCACTGGATGTGCCTGATCGGTTCACCTACAAGCGTTTTAATCCACATTGCTATATCAGAGAGCAGCTGAGTTCTTACCTTCAGCCGGGCGCGTTCAGAGTTGGAGAAAGACAAAAGGAGCGCAAACCGAGCGGATGGATTCAAGCATGAGTATTGATGTGCACTGTGTTATCCCGAGTCATTCTTGCTCTCGTGCACGCGCTGCTGGATGAGCTCCCAGCTCCTCCCTCCTACACCAGTGTCCTTCAGAGACCTTCCAGCCCACCTCACAGATACACTGATTGATTCGGGCTCCTGTGTCACCAGATAACATGCCACATTAAACAACGCCTGATGCAGTCCAGCCTATTAACAATTCATCCATTTATCCATATCTATCTATCTATCCATCCATCCATATTTCTATCCATCCATCCATGTATCCATGTATCTATCTATCTATCTATCTATCTATCTATCCATCCATCCATTTATCCATATCTATCTATCTATCTATCTATCCATCCATCCATCCATCCATATCTCTATCCATCTATCCATGTATCCATGTATCTATCTATCTATATATCCATCCATCCATTTATCCATATCTATCTATCTATCCATCCATCCATATTTCTATCCATCCATCCATGTATCCATGTATCTATCTATCTATCTATCTATCTATCTATCTATCTATCTATCTATCTATCTATCTATCACAATATGAGCAGAAACAAAGATATTAATAAAAACATTTGCGTGCGCACACACACACACACACACATACATATATACAGTCGTGGTCAGAATTATTGGCACCCTCGGTAAATATGATCAAAGAAGGCTGTGAAAATAAATCTGCATTAATCATTTTGATCTTTTATTTCAAAAATTCACATAAATCTAACCTTTCATTGGAGAATAAGAATTTAAAATGGGGGAAATATCATTATGACATACATGTTTTTCTCAAATACAATTCAAACACAATTATTGGTACCCTATGAGTAAAATATCTGAAGTATATTCCCATTCATATTTACAATTTTGAGCATACCAGGGTGATTATGAACATGAAAGTATCCAGCCATGGCTTCGTTTCACAGAAATATAAATAGGAGGGAAAACAAAGGCCAAATTCCCTTAATCATCCATCACAATGAGAAAAACCCGTTGAGCTTCACAAAATAGAAAGTGGCTTTCAGAAAAGAGCTAGAGTATTGAAAACTCCCATTTCCACCATCAGGGCAATAATTAAGAATTTCCAATCAAC